ACATGTGTGTGCCACTGTTGTGGTATACCTGTGTGAGTTCCGAAGCCAAGTTACCTGGGCTGAATCCTATCCTCGTCCCTTTCTGGCTGTGTGACCTCAGGCAAGTCGCTCACCCTCTCTGAGCCTCAGTTTTCCCTGCTGTAAAATGAGGCTATATATAGAAGCCAGCTCAGGTTGTGAGGATTAAGTGAGATAAAAGATGTTGAGGAGTTTAGAGCCCAGCCCAATACACAGCAGGTGCCCACTGATGTTCGTGGTTCTGTGGGGAGTGTTTGTGCATGCCTGGGGCCAGGATCTAGCCTGGCCACCCAGGCCCTGCAGCCTCCCACGCTCTGTGCTCTGCTGCAGGGTAAGAGGAGGGATGTCGAGGACACTGACCTGTGTTATCAGCCTCTAGTGTCCTGGGCCAGGGAGTCTGGCAATTCTGCCTGAGTTCTCATGCAAGAAATGCTAAATATTTACAGTTGGGCCTCCTGGGCTGAGTATCCCAGCCCCACTCCCAGGCTCCGGGGGCTCTGGAGTGGTTACCAAGCCTCTTCTCTCCTTCTCTCCCACTGGCTTTCCCCTTCCCCAGCTCAGAGGTCCCACCAGACCTTCCGCTCTTTTTCTGGTTCCTGCCCGCTGCAAGCCTTGCTGGATTCAGGTTGTGACAGGTGAGAGGGTGGAAGGGCAGGTGGAGATGGATTCTGTCTGTCAGGAGACCCCGGCCTCAGCTTGGCTGGGGGGCTCCCAAGCCTCGTCCTCACCCCAGGCTGAGGGTATGAAAGGCAGTGGGTGTTACTCACAGTCTCTAGCTCTGGGGGCTTGGTCCATCCTGTTGCGGGGGGTGAGATGGGGACAAAGAGAGGACCCTGCTGCACCCTTGGGAGCTCATGCTTGGTGTGTGAATCCAGTAGCAAATATGCCCTTCCCCAGCTCAGAACTCTCCAGGGCTCCCCCCCAACTCGGAGTAAAACTCCAAGTCTTCCTCGAGGCGTACAAGGCCTTATACACTTTGCTCTATCACCTCTCTGCCCTTCATGTCGTCCTGTGTCCCTGTCACCCCTGTCACTCTGTTCCAGCCTTCCTCCTATTCCTCGGGCATATCAAAAGCAAAGTCCAACCTCAGGGCCTTTGCACAAGCCGTGCCCTCTGCCTGGAACACTCTTTCTCTTCTCTCTCTTCCTGCAGGTCTTTGCTCTAGTGTCATTTTTTCAGTGAGGCCATTCCTGACTCCTCTATTTAAACGCACCCCCCCAATCCTGGTACTCCCTACCCTCTGACCTACCTACTGGTGGTTTGACTTATTTGTCTGTTTTCCCAACTAGAATGCCAGCTCCCTAAGGACGGGGATTTTGTCTCTTTTGGTCAAGGTCCCATGGCCTGGAACAGCATCTGGCACACAACAGGCACCCAGGGAGTGTGTTGTTGAACGTGTGAATGAGGCAGTGTGTGTGTGTGATGCTGAAGACCTCAGGACCCGTGCCTGTGTGGCCTCCAGATTGGGACATGGTGGCACTTGGTGCAGGTGGGGGGCGACGTGTGGACACGTGTTCCCAGTGTCAGCAGGTGCACAGGCACGCACGTCCCAGTCTGAGAGGCTGCGAGTGTGTGAACCCCAGTGTGCCCAGCGATGAAGGCAGTGGGGCCCTGCAGGGCCGGGGGTGGGTGGCCACGAGGATCCACCCTCAAGTGAAGACACTTGTCTGAGCTCACATGTGTGAGCCCAAGGAACACCTACGGGTACGCCAGGGCGAGGGGGGCCCTGTTTTAAGGTGCTGGAGACAGAACAGTGATCAGAACCCTCAACTCAGCCTCAGGGATCTGAATGGGTGAATTCAGATCATAGGTAGTGGCCAAGAAATGAGGCCATTTCAGAGAGTGCTAAATACTCAAATGAAAAAGACAGACTGTGACAGGGAGGACCCGGAAGGGGCAACTCGAAATGTGGTGATCGGGGAGGGCTTCTGAGGATAGGGAAGGAACCATGTTAAAATTTGGAGAAGATGAGTTCAGGAGTTCGAGACCAGCCTGAACAAGAGCGAGACTCCGTCTCTACTAAAAATAGAAAAAAATCACCCAGGCGTGATGGCATGTGCCTGTAGTCCCAGCTACTTGGGAGGCTGAGGCAGGAGGATCGCTTGAGCCCAGGAGTTTGAGGTTGCTGTGAGCTAGGATGATGCAATGGCACTCTCCCTGGGGTGACGGAGTGAGACCTTGTCTCGGGGGAAAATAAATCGGATTACTCTGTAGGCTGGGAAAACAGCAAGTGCAAAGGCCCTGAGGCTGGAGTTTGTCTGGTGTGAGCCAGGGCATGAGTGGGAGGAGTTGAGGGCAGGAGGGGACAAGGTAGATAGGACAAGGCTTTATGGACCACAGAGAGGACTTGGGCTTTTCCTCGAAATGAGGTGGAAGCCACCAAGGATTCTGAGCAGGCGAGGGACGTGAATTGACATGTTACAGGCAGCCTCTGGTCGCTGAGGGGGGAATAGATCAGAGGTTGACAGGGGAAATCTGGAGATCTGGGAGGCAGCTGCTGTCAGGGAATCCAGATGGCGTCTTGAGCTGGGAATTTGGGGAGGGAGAAGGGGGGATGTAGAGGAATTCAGGGTCTAAACAGAAGAGCAGACAGGCCTGGCTGATGGGTCGGATCTGTTGTGAAGAAACAGACATGAGACAGCCGGGCGCGGTGGCTCATGCCTGTAATCCTGGCACTCTGGGAGGCCGAGGTGGGAGGATCGCTTGAGCCTAGCAGTTTGAGGCTGCAGTGAGCTATGATGACACCCCTGCACTCCAGCCTGGGCAACAGAGCAAGATTCTGTCTCAAATAAACAAACAAAACCCCAGAGAGACATGAGGACCCTGGGTTTAGGTATGAGGACGTGGAGGATGGGGTGGCCACTACTGGACAGATGGGAAGACTGAGCTAGTGAGATGTGACCCCCACCCAACCTCACCTCCTCGCACTCACTTTCTCTGCTCTTGCTACAGACTCCCCGAGGTTCCTTCAAAACATCAGGCATGGGCCAGCCTCAGGGCCTTTGCACCTGCTGTTGCCCCTGCCTGGAACGCTTTTCTCCCCAGACACCCATAGGACCTCCTGTCACCCCCTTCAAGAGCTCCTCCTGCAGCAGGACTTCCTTTTGGCAACCCCCTCCTCTCAAATTGCCCCCGCATGGACCCCCACAGCCCTCTCTCTATTTACTGTTGTTTTTAGCACTTTGCACCATCTAATATACTCCATTCATCCTATACAGTACTTATGTATTGAAGGGGGTAGGTGAATAAAAAAAGAAAAAAAATGTAAAAATTAAAAAAAAAAAAGTACTTAGTATTTTGTTTCTTGCCCACCAAGCAGGGATTTTTTTTTTTTTTTCCTTTTTGAGACAGGGTCTTGCTCTGTCTCCCCGGCTAGCGTGCAGTGGCGTCATCGTAGCTCACTGCAACCTCAGATTCCTGGGCTCCAGCAATCGTCCTACCTCAGGCTCCCCAGTAGCTGGGAATACAGGCTCAGGCCACAATTCCCGGCTAATTTTTTCTATTTTGGGTAGAGGCGGGGTCTCGCTCTTGCTCAGGCTGGTCTTGAACTCCTTGGCCTCCCAAAGAGCTGGGATTACAGGTCTGAATCACCGCGTCCGACCCCAGGGCAGGGATTTCTGTCTGTTCTGTTCCTGACTGTATTCCCAGCGCCTAGAACAGAGGCTGGCACACATTATGCGCTCAGTGATTGCTTGCTGAATGAATGAACGCACGGAGAGACACGTTGTCCCGCAGGGCACCTAGTGGAGAGGCCAGGACGGGATCCCCTTGGGACTCTCCAGACGCAGGGTGAGGGGAATGGACTCAAGACAGGGAATAATGGACTCGAGACGGGGAATTATGGCCCCGGAGCCGCGTCCATGTAGACGCGCGCGCGCGCGTGGGAACTGATGGGTCTGGTCGGGCCTGCGACGTCCCGTCTTCCTCCCGCTCCCCCTCCCCTCACAGGTCTGCCATGTGGGCGCCCCGGCTGCGCGCGCTGCAGCTGCTGCTCCTGCTGGGCGCGTCGTGGGCGCGGGCGGGCGCCCCGCGCTGCACCTACACCTTCGTGCTGCCGCAGCAGAAGTTCACGGGCGCCGTGTGCTGGAGCGGACCGGCGGCCGCTCGGCCGGCGCCAGAGGCCGTGAACGCCAGCGAGGTGGCGGCGCTGCGCATGCGCGTGGGCCGCCACGAGGAGCTGCTGCGCGAGCTGCAGAGGCTGGCGGCGGCCGACGGCGCCGTGGCCGGCGAGGTGCGCGCGCTGCGCAAGGAGAGCCGCGGCCTGAGCGCGCGCCTGGGCCAGCTGCGCGCGCAGCTGCAGCACGAGGCGGGCCCGGGGGCTGGGCTCGGGCCGGGGGCGGAGCCTGCCGCCGCGCTCGCCCTGCTCGGGGAGCGCGTGCTCAACGCGTCGGCCGAGGCTCAGCGCGCAGCCGCCCGCTTCCACCAGCTGGACGTCAAGTTCCGCGAGCTGGCGCAGCTGGTGAGCCAGCAGAGCGGCCTCATCGCCCGCCTGGAGCGCCTGTGCCCGGGGGGCGCGAGCGGGCAGCAGCAGCAGGTAACCTCGGAGCCTCCCCGGGACAGCAGCATCGTCTGCGAAATGGGCCTCCTGCAACCCCCAGGATCACCGGGATCAGTTCCAAAATCTGAAAACCCTGGCAACCGCTCTCCTACCTGCCCCCGTCTCGTAACTTATTTGGGTCAAAAAGTTACTGGTGGCTATTTATAGTCTTCACTTATCCACTTAATGTGAATATTCATAGGATCCTATAATTAAGCGTCCAAAGACTCCATTAAGGGTGTTATGTATAATACACACACACACATTTATATATATACATATAGACAGCTACATAACGCCCTGTGTCACTGTGTCTAAACCCTGCAGTGTTACTCTGAATTCTAGAGCGTGTCTGGCCCTGGGTTTTGGATAAGAGGTTATTGCCCTGGGACAGTTCCTACCTGACAGCGTTGGTGGGAGGATTCAGTAATTTAAATAGTCATTGTTACCCCATGAACTCTTGTTACCTCTACTTTACAGGAAAGGAGACTGAGGCACAGATCTGTTAAGCTGTGAACACCAGAGCGGGCATTGAAGCTCAGCTCTGTCTGTGCTTGAAAGGCAAGAGTTAGCTATTGGGGAGGAATCATTTCTAGAGCTGGGACACCCCTGCTACCTGGTACCCAGATCATTTGGGAGCCAGGAGATGTATCCAGCATCCCCGGGACGCTGAGGGTTAGTGCAATTACATCTGAGTTTTTGGGTCACCCCAGGTTCTGCCACCGCCCCTGGTGCCTGTGGTCCCTGTCAGTCTGGTGGGTGGCACCAATGACACAAGCAGAAGGCTAGATCCAGCCCCACAGCCCCAGAGAGACCAGATCCTGAGACAGCAGGGCCCCTTGGCCTCTCCTATGCCTGCAGGGCACCCTGCCGTCCCCACCAAGCCAGCAGGTAAGACAACAGCATGGCTGTGAGCCAGGGCATTCCCAGTACAGTGTGGGTAGAGGGAAACAGGAGGCAGGATTGTAATGGCAGGTTCCTTTCATGGTGACAGGACCAGAGAAAATGAGGCTTTTATTCTGATAATGGAACAGGGAGATATGGCTCTCATTCTGATATAAAAAGACCAAGCTTCTTACTACAGAGTGAAAATAGAAGAAATAAGAAATAGGAGAGGAGGTCCTCTTAATTTGATAAGGTGATGGTGGATTTTGGTGAGAAATTTGAGGTTTAGAGTACCATGTTCAGGACTTATATTTTGGTAAGGAGACCACAGAACCCCAGACTCCACATTTGCTCTGGTGAGAGAATAGGGACCTAGAGTCTTACTCAGGTAAAGGGCTCTTATTCTGGTGAGGAAATGGGAGAGGCAGGACTTCTGTTCTGGTGAGGGGACCTGTGAGAATCTGGACTTCTACTTTAGTAAGGGATTGGTTGGCCCCACTGTGCCTCCCCCATATTCCTGTGCCCACAGGCCCCTGGCAGGATTGTGCAGAAGCCCACCGGGCAGGCCACAAGCAGAGCGGAGTGTTTGAGCTGCGAATGGGCCGGCTTGTGGTGTCGGCGTGGTGCGAGCAGCAGCTGGAGGGTGGCGGCTGGACCGTGATCCAGCGGAGGCAAGATGGCTCCGTCAACTTCTTCACTACCTGGCAGCACTACAAGGTGGGTGCAGGTGGGTGAGCAGGGCAGGGGAGGGAACCGTGTTCCTGACCTCGTGACTTTCCTGCCTCGCCAGGTGGGCTTTGGGCAGCCCGATGGAGAGTACTGGCTGGGCCTTGAACCTGTGTATCAGCTGACCAGCCGTGGGGACCACGAGCTGCTGGTGCTTCTGGAGGACTGGGGGGGCCGGGGAGCACGTGCACACTACGATGGCTTCTCCCTGGAACCTGAGAGCGACCACTACCGCCTGCGACTTGGCCAGTACCATGGTGATGCTGGGGACTCTCTTTCCTGGCACAATGACAAGCCTTTCAGTACCGTGGATAGGGACCGAGACTCTTATTCTGGTAAGGAGAGCTCTTATTCTGGTGGGAGTGTATATAGGGGAGGCAGAACTCCTGTTCTGGTGGGGGAATGAATGAAAGGAGGTGTGATAGTTAAGACGCCCCTCTGGTTAAGTATCAGGATAAGCAAGCTTTTATTCTGGCAAGAGAACAAGGGACAGTACTTTTATTCTGGTGAGGAAATGGGGAACCCAAATTCTTTCTCTGATGAGGCAATAAAAGAGTCAAGACCCTTGTTCTGGGGAAGGGCAGAGAGAGGGTCAAAGCTAGAACTCTATTTCTAGAAGTAGAGAAGATTTGTTTTTTCCTTGATAAAGAAATGAGTGGTAGACTCCTAGTTTGCAGAAAAGGTGGGAAATGTGTGACTTGTATTTTGGTAAGGAGATAGGGAAGGAATTAAAGAATTAAGGCTATTACTCTGAACAAAGTGGGTTGGGGGACAAGGGCTCCTATTTGGTGAGGAGATGGAAAATCAGGGCTTGTGTTTGATAAGAGTAGGTAAAGCCAGGGGATGCCTGGCAAAAGCCTTGCACTGTAAGGTGCTAGTACCGGCTTTTATTCTGATGAGGGGACATGGACTCTCTCTCTCTCCTCAGGTAACTGTGCCCTGTATCAGCGGGGAGGCTGGTGGTACCATGCCTGCGCCCACTCCAACCTCAACGGTGTGTGGCACCGCGGTGGCCATTACCGAAGCCGCTACCAGGATGGCGTCTACTGGGCCGAGTTTCGTGGCGGGGCGTACTCGCTCAAGAAGGCTGCCATGCTGATCCGGCCCCTGAGGCTGTGACTATGTGTTCATCAGTCCCTCGGGCCCCAGAGGGGCCCAGGTTGTCCTGGCCACACCTCCTTTGTGGCTCAGTGCTGATGTGTCCCACAGAACTTCCCATGTTGGGTCTGTTACCCTGGGCCCCCCCAAAACGGGACCCAGGAACCTCCCCCCGCCAATATCTCGGACCCGCTGGCTCCCCACGGGCACTGATATCTCCGTTTGAGATCATATTTTATAACAAGACAAAGTTTCCACAGACCGTGTCTGTTTCGTGTCTGGCAGGGGTCACTCCCTGTGCCTGCCGCTCTCCTCCTCCTCCTCTTCCTCCTCCTCCTCTTTCAGGTCCTCCAGAATGAGGTTGTCCAGGTCTTCCAAGCCCCCCTGGCTCAGGCAGGTGGCCACGGTGGAGCCACTGCTGATATGGGGGTTGCTGGGGTGGAGGACTTTGGGGAGGTGGTTCTGCTTCCGGCTCTTGGGGTGCGCACAGGACGTCCCAGGCACGTGGGGCTCTGGGGAGAGAGAGGTGCTGAGGTCGTGGGACTGGAGGTCCCAAGAGTCCCGCCGGAGGAAGGGCTGAGGCCGCAGGATTGGGGGCCAGAGCTACGGGAAGGTCAGAGGTGTCGAAGCTACGGGAGACGCAGGGATGTGGGGAGCGCCTGAGACTACAGGACACAGGAGCTGAAAGGACAGACCCATGGGGACCCTCGGGCACGGGCCACGGAGGCAGGCCACGGAAGACACGCGGAAGGAGGGGCTGCCACCGTGGGAACCATGGAGAGGAAGTGGGCCGAGGGCTGGGGAGGCACGTGGAAGAGGCAGGTGATCTTGGTACTTAGGACGACAGGGGGGACGCAGACCGCCCAGGGCGGGGCGGGGCCTCACCTCGCCGGTTGTAGCAGTCGGCCGCCGAGCAGGAGTGCGTGTGGGTGCTGCGGCGGTCCATGTCCCGGTCCCAGCGCGGGGGGAGGATCCGTGTTGGATACACGGGGAAGCCGCACCCGTAGCAGGGGGACCGGGACCCCATCTGTGCCCAGCCCCTGGGGGCGGGCAGGGCTGTGAGGGTCCGAGGGCGAGGC